CTTTCTTTCTTTCTTTCTTTCTTTCTTTCTTTCTCTCTTTCTTTCTTTCTTTTCTTTTTTTTTTCTTTTTTTGGAAAGTTGTACCAATTTGCTCATGTGGAGCAGATAAAAATCAATTCTGATCCCCAAGTTAAACATTACCAGACAACTTGGAAGCCAGAGTGGCCTTGGAGTGCATATGGTCCATCCTGCTAAGACCTGCTAAGATGTGTCCAGCATTAAAAAAAAAAAAAAAATCTCTCTCTCTCTTTTTCCTCCTCCTCCTCCTAAAAGGTTCCAAGCAATATACTGCTGTATTCTCAGCTTGCAAAGTAACTGACAGAGATTTCCTTTCCCTTTTCGTGGCCCTCTTTACATTACTTCCTATGAATATAGAGTTGCAGAGCTGTTGCTCTGAATAGTTTGCCTCTCTGGATTTTAACAAACATCTCAACAACTATACAAAATGCTTGGTCTCAAAGGACTGAAAAGCAGCCATGTTAATTCCACGCTCTCACGCACGGTCGTGACCCCTTGATTTCTGCACTCTGCTTCTTTGTAAATAACATTTTTCTTACCTTCTTGAGCCCCTCATGTTGGGTGTCAGCTCCGGGGGTGGGGGGGCTGCCATTGCTTACGGCCAGCAGAGAAACGATTCGCAGGAGCTGAAAACAGAAATCTAGTTCAGTGTTGATTACTTCACTGGTGCTGGCTCAAACTTCAAGAGTATGACACCAGGCAGTTTCTTTTGAGCACAGCACACTCTTGGCAGCGGGGGGTGGTGGTGGGGGGTGCTTCCTGATGACAATGAACTCAACCCTGTGTGTACAACAAAGCGTAAGGCGTGTTTACACCGAAACGCTTTACAAAGTACATATGGCATCTTTCAGAAAGATGGTTTCTGTTGGCTGAGAGTCAGTGCTAAGATCTAGGGGGAAGGACCAAGATAACTGTGATAACTTGGAGGGGTCAGACTAGTCTAGCACAGAAGTCACTTAGGCTGTTGACAGTGCAAGTGGCGTCTCTCAGAAGGATGGATTGTTTTGACTGAGCAGCAATGCTCAAGACCTGGACGGAAGAGTCTCGGATAGGCAAACTCAATATTTTGGGGAGTTTCGGTAGACCTCGCCTTAGAGATAGCACAGATCACCAGGTTTTAAAGATACCCTTGCCCAGATTTTTGGGTGGGAAAACAGGTGAACGTCTCCTTCCTTTGAAGGACCAAGCCTACGTGTTTAACTTTCCTGTTCTCCCTGGGGCTTACCAGTGAGAAAGGGCCTCATGCCCTCTACGCTCTGCCAACACCTTGATCTTGGACTCCTGGGCCTCAAGGATGGAGAGCCAAGTCTCCGTCTGGTGAACCATCTCTCATGGTGCATTCTACATTGGCTTGGAAGGAGTCGCCACAGCCAGTGGCTCTGAGTCCACTTCAGCTTCTGAGTTAGGCAGGAAGGACAAGAAAGAGCATCTGTTGCCCTCCAAGGCTCATCCCTGGCGGCCTCTCTTCTATGGGTTTATTGACTGGGTTGCATGTTCCTTTTCAGCTTGTCAAGCCAAGGCAGGCGGAATTCAAGGGAGGAACTTGCAGGCAGGAGAGACCACAAAGGAATGGAGGCTTACTACTGGTTTGTTCTACTTATGTGGCCCAGGCCCACCTGCCTAGGAGATAGCATCACCCACAGTGGAATGGGCCATCCTACACTGACTTTCAGTTGAGAAAGTGCCTCACAGGCATGCCACAATCCTATGGAGGCAATTCTTCAGCTGAGGTTCCCTCTTCCCAGGTCTGTCAGATTGACAACTGATGCTCATAATGACAACCACTCCTTCCCAGCTACTGTAGAAAAGACCACGAGAGATGATTCACCTGACAGAGACTTGGCTCTCCATTCTGGAAGCCCATAAGCCCAAGATCGAGGTGCTGGCATAACGCTGTTCCCTGCATGGACCCTAGGCAGGAGAATTTGTTTTGTTTCATTTTGTTGAGACAGGGTCTCTCTATATTGCTCTGGCTGTTCTGGAACTCACTATGTAGACCAGGCTAGCCTCGAACTCATACAGCTCCACCTGCCTCTGCCTCTCAAGTGCTGAGATTAAAGGCATGCACCACCATACCAGGCTCCAGAGTAGGGACCTTTCCAGCAAGCTCTTTACTTGTGGTGCCTGCTGATGGCACACCTCGGTTTGTGAACTTGTTCCTCCTGCCTCTGTCCAATTGGTACGTGGCCATCTTCTCCCATGTCTCTGTTCACATTGTCCTCCCTCTATCTCTGAGTTCCTTTTCCTCTTTTTAAAAGGGATGCCTATCAGCTGGACTCCCTTACTCCTGTTTGGTTGGTGTTGCTGTTTACTGAATTACATCCACAAGAACCCTATTTCTAAACCAGGACACATGCTGTGGACACGGATGGACATAGAACCTTAGAAAAATCCCATGACACCATCTGGTTCATAGAGAGGAAGTCTGGTACCCTAGACAGACAGTGGTTCACCTGGGTTGCCAGTGGGCAGCCCTGGCTGCTGGGGGTTTCCAGTTCCATCCGTCTGGGCCTTTGAACCCACACCTTCAGCTTCGCTTTGGTGAACATCTGAGGAAGGCTCGGTGCCCCCTGGTCGGGTGCAAAAGGGTTTCTGGCTCCCTTGAAGATTCAAGGTCACTGCAAGGCCACAGACTGACTCTTCTGAGGTGGTGGCTGGCTGCTGTCACTGTGTAGTAAGAACCATGAACCTGCAGGGAAAGGGTGGGGCTGTGTGTGTGTGTGTGTGTGTGTGTGGTGGGGTGTCCTATTGCACAGCTGTCAGCTTCTCTGTTTCAGACTTATCTCTGTTCCCTAAGGTGTTCCCGGGAGGAGATTCCATGCTGCAGCCCTGCCCACCTACAGACATTCTGGAGCTAGGGATCATGAGAAGAGTCCTCAGGGGCAGCCGGAGCCAGGGCCTGTCCTGTGTCCTCCTGCCAGTGGTGGTGGGGGGCACTGTCTTAGTCCTGAAGGCAGGTGACTCAGCCCTATGTGGAAATCACCTTCTCCAGTTAGTATATCACATCTGCGTTTGTCCCAGGAAAGACAGGGTCATCCCTGAACCAGCCATTGTGTTTGCTTCCTCCAACATCCATCTCTAGGCTCCGATGACTCAGGAGGGGCTGTGAGGCAAGAGAGTTCACAGGGAGGGGGACCACGCCTAGCGCAGCTGCAGAACGGGTGACAGGTGGCCGGCAGGAATTCTGGCGACATTGCCTGGCTTTTGCCTTCTTTCTCCACCTAACTACTGGCTCAGATAACCCAGAGCGGTAACTTGAGAAAAGGGAGAGGTGGTGCCGCACCCAGCCTTCACCTGCCTCAAGGACTCTATGTCTATGGGATGCTGAGAAGTCTCATGGAGCAGGCAGTACCACCGCAATGCCCTCCTGACCCTCACCCATCTAGGGAACTCCTAGCCATGCCTCAAGAACCAATCAGATTTCATCTCATCCTGACAATTCTTACATAGGTCGCAGTTCCAGGCTGTGACCTCCTAGGTTAAGGGTCCTGCTGGAGGTCATGAGGTCTGGGTATCTGCTAACTGTCTGGCTTATGACCCAGGCTATGTTTACACTGGTGATGCTCTCCCCATGCTGTATCTCTGATGCCAGGGTCAGCCTACAGGCTTAGACCCGTCCATCAGACCCTGCACACAAACCTGGCTTTCACTGGCCAGTCAGTGAAGACTGACACCTTGACACCCCTTTGGGTACCCATTCTCATACTTCCCCAACCTGGAAGCCAAGTTTGATGTAGCTATTTTGTGGGATGATGTATCAAATGTGTTGGAGGGTCTTCAGGTGGTCCCCGTGAAAGCCTATTGATGCTACAATGCTGGGCAGTGAGGACCAGACAAGGAAGGCCAGTCACTGCTCCTCACCAGCCATCTTCTGGGAGGTGGGGCACACTGAAGTAAAGGCTAGCCTCGGCTGCTGGAGCAATGCTATCATGGACTCCATCAGGTCACAGTTTCCCCCTTCAGAAGCCAGGCCTGCTTAGCCCAGCCTTGTCCACTCAGGCTGCGGAAAACTGGCTTTCCAATGTAGACCATTTATTGAAAGTAAGGCAAGGCAGACTGGACAAAGATCAAGAGTCTGTATCTGCTTGGATTAAAATGTGCTCAGGAGGGACTGGAGAGGTAGCTCAGTGGTTAAGGGCACTGGCTGCTCTCCCAAAGGACCCTAGTTCGAGTTCCCAGCACCTACACAGTGTCTCACAACTGTCTGTAACTCCAGTTCTAGAAGATCTGATGTCTCCTCTGACCTCTGCATGTTTCTTCCTGTTCCTGCATACATATGGTACACAGATATACATGCAGGTACGCATACACGTGTATACACACACACACACACACACACACACACACACACACACACAAAATGAAGTAAGTAATTTTTTTTTATCTGCTTGGATCTAGAGACCAAAGGTGCTGAAAACAGTTGTCTCTAGACAGAAGTGGGGAGACTTTATATTATTTGATTTTAAAAATTAAATGTATACTATTTTTACTAAGAGTACATTGAGTAAATGTATTTCAGGTATTCATTAAAGCAGAGCTAACGATAAAAAAGGGGCTTTTCTGGGGGAAAGTGCCGAGCTAGAGTCCCCACTTTTAAGAGGGACAGATGAGGGAGACCCAGGCACCCAGCCTAGCTGTCACTTCTGTTTCAGGTGTTGGTGGTACTATAGATTAAGTGGCCCAAGATTTTCTTCATCACTCTCGGTGAGGTGGTTGAGACCACAAGACTAAACGGTCCCTGCCTAGCCTGTGACCACTCAGCCTGTGACCTCGCCCTGCAGCCTCCAACCGCCTTCCAGTCTAAGTCGGTACACTGATTGACAGCCTGCTTTGAGCCTGGAATCTGCCATGGCTGTCCTTACTCCTTCCCTGTCGTCCTCCCCACCACCACTAGGAGGAGGGAGGAGTCTTCCAGAATTTCACAGGAGAAGAGTCCAGAGTCCACAGAACCCAGGCGACATATGGATATAAAAGGGCCCTCCTTGTGCCCCTGCACATCCTGGGTGGTGATACTGACACCTTCCTGCTGCCATGGAGACCAGAGCCCTCTTGCTAATGCTGCTGGTCCTGGTAGCTGGGTCTTCTGGGGTAGCTGCGGAGTACATTGGCCTGTGTAAGTACCTATCTGGTTCCCTTGTTGCTAGGCTAGGACCTCTCGGCATGAGGAGCGGCACAAGATGAGCTGGTTAACAGAGCTTTCTGTGAGCTTGAGAGCTGGTGAAACTGCCTACCTTCTTACCCTGATTTAATAATTAATGGCCACTTATTGGGCACACGGATTCTGGCAGCAGTCCTACAGAGAGGCTCTTTCTGACCCATTTCACAGACAAGTTAATGGAGGCTCAGAGTAGGTCAACATGCTTGGGTCAGCTCTCCACCTCAGAGTCCATAGGAGGCTTGGAACCAAGGCTGGCGTAGGAGGGGATGGCTGGGGCTTACCCCATCTCATTTCTTTCTTTGCCAGAGATTTCTGAGCACACTGACTATCCTGGCAAGGTACCAGAACAAACAAGAAAGAAAGAAAGAAAGAAAGAAAGAAAGAAAGAAAGGAAGGAAGGAAGGAAGGAAGGAAGGAAGGAAGGAAGGAAGGAAGGAAGGAAGGAAGGAAGGAAGGAAGGAAGGAAGGAAGG